CCTACCACTTTGTTTGTAACTCTGTGTTGTCTGTATTGTGCTTGTGATATGTTGTAAAATGTTGTATGTCTGTTAATGTTTCCCTCCTTTTATCTTTAAAATTAAAAAAAAACAAAATGCTACTGCATCATAGGTCTAGGCTCACTAAAAGTGGGGTGTAGTAGCTTTCTGGGGATACCATAATAAAGAGCCAGAGACAGGGTAATTTAAACCCTAGTTTATTTATTTCTCACAGTTCTAGAGGCTAGAAGTTCAAGGTCAAGCTGTCCTCAGGATTGATGTTTTTGAGACCTCGCTCTCTCTGGCTTGTAGCCACTCTCCACCCAGGGTGCGACTTAAAAGAATAAGCTGTTCCGAAGGAAGGTATGAAAATGGGAAGTACGTCTGGAGTTTGAAAGAAATACACAGCAGGTAGAGAAGGAGGAAGAAAAGAGTGAAATGAAGAAAGGGAGAGGGAGACAGAGGGAAGGGATGGGTGGGAGTGAAGCATCAAGTAACTCTGCCAATTATATATATGGGCTTCACTTTTCATTTAAACATGTACTGCCAAAAATGTTTTAAAACTTTTCTAAAAGAATGTTTCAAGGCTTTAAAAATAATGATTAAAAACTCACTGGGTCAGATGACCTCCAAGGTCTTTTCTGGGTGTCATCACCAACACTGCTTCCAGTGGAGAGTTCCTTTCCACAGCCTCCCCTTTCAGTCTCTTCCAGTGTCCTTCTGTTAGCTTCCGGCATCTCAGAGCCCCTTGGAATGAGTATCGCCTCAATTGGCATCCAAACAGGAAGCATCTACTGTGGGCATCGGTGTCTGTGCACCCCTAGAATGCATATCTTGGAATCTTAACCCTCAAGGTGCTGGTATTAGGAGGTGGAACCTTTGTGGAGGTGACGAGATCCTGAGGGCAGATCCGTCATTATTGCTATTAGTATGCTCACAGAAGAGAGTCCAAGGGGTCTCTTACTCCTGCCATGTGAACCAGACAGTGGGCAATCACAAAGCATCAAGACTGCTAGTGCGCTGGTCTTGGACCACCCAGTCCCCCGAACCACACGAAATAAGTTTGTTGTTTGTAAGCCACCTGTTTGTGTTATTCTGTTATAGCAGCCCAAACAGACTAAGATAGCAATGGTGTTACCCGAAGTAAGCAAAAAGGGAAATGTTAGGGACAAGTCTGAACTTCAAACCCTGTTTCAGCACTGTGGTCAGGGTCAAGCCATCCTTGTTCTTAAAATGGGAAGATACTTGCCTTGCTGGGGCTTACACGTTAATGGAAGCAGGCTCCTGGGGCTGCACTACAAGGAGAATAATCCTCCTGTCTCTCCAGGGGGTTTGTCTGCTACTCCCTCTCTTGACCTTCCTCTCTCTCCCAGTCCTCTTGCCCATAAGAAAACAACTTTAGCCTTACTGTAGGGGTGGGTGCGTAGATTTTGAATATTGTCCTTGGCATTCACGTTCCACAAGAGCTGTGACCTAATGCAATCAGTGACCCACTGTAATAGATACTAAAGAACTAATAAGGGTTAGTGTTGAAAGGGATGGACTAACTTGAGGCTTCTCCAGAGTTTTCAAAATGCATATCCCATTTTTGTCCACATGGCAATCCACATGGAATGCAAATATTGGTGCATTCTTTTGGTTTTTGTTTGTTTGTCTCATTTTGTTTAGGGGAGTTGGCTACATATTTTGAGAAAGAGGTTCCATTAAGTAAGATAATGGCTATCTCCAGGGAGGACCACTAACTTAGGAATTTTCTATACATTGTTAGCCACAGCCAAAAAAGGAAGAAATGTAGATTTCTGGAAAAGGCTAAGGAGATTTTTTACAAAGGCACCGTACTCTCCTCCCTGGATGACTCTCAGTGCCAGAGGTGTCCTAGCCTGTGTAAAGTCTGTGCCTTTCATTGTTGTTAAAATGTAGGGCCACAGGTCAAAGGTCTGAATGGTATGACTTTGTAGACTCAAGTTCTGACTCATGTCGATAGTCTGATTTAGGTTTCTGGTTATGCACCTCAGTCCTCACTCAATTCCTTGGGTTAAGTATGAGTTCTGCAATCACAGTCATAGGGTTAGTAAAATCTACTATGAGATTCATAAGCTGCAGATTGTCTGAAGATCATATGATGATTTCATGGAAAAACAGACACAAAGCCAAAGGTACAGTGAGGTCCCAGTCGTGTATTCCCATGCAGCTAATGCATGTGTGTTAGTAGGATGTGTGTAAGAAGGGGACAGGGAAGTGATATGAGCAGAGATGGCCTCAGGGCTGTGTGGGTGGTAAGGTTATATGGAGGGATGAATTGTGCAAAGGAGTGTAAAACATGTGAGGAGTGTGCATTTATACATGCACATGTGTGTGCAGGCATGCGTGGTCCTGAGTGTTACACTGGAGGTTTGGACATCCAAAAACTAGGTGTGATACTGGAGGCCAAAGGGGAACTGGAGCGCTCTATATCACCTACTCTGACAACTGCATACCTTAGTAAAACTCAGTAAGGTATGAGAACAAAGACTTTGAAGTCAGGCCTGCTTCTCAAAAGTCCTAACCAACATCCACTGGCTGAGCTGAGTGAAAAGGGGCACGTTATTTAATGTCTTGCAATCACTTTGTCACCTTTAAGAAGAAGGCTACTTCTTGGCATCCATAAAAGACTGAGCACAGAGTAACACAACACAATTAAAAAATAGTACGTTAAAAAATTCTAGCCCATTTCTCAAAACTGATTCCAAAAGAAAATTGCACTCCAGCAACAAATGACCTCCAACAAATCAATTGTTAGAACACACTCACTTTCTATGGCTTCTTTATTTGTAACAGTTTCTTTAGGAGAGGGAAGGGATTACAAACAACTCTTGATTACTTGGTTTTTAGGGCTACCAAGGTGAAAACCACATAAAGTCTACAGGATGATGTCCCCCGGTGTTTCAACCAATAAAGCTTTTTATATGGATTCCTACTCTAAGCAAATAAATTGACTGGAACTTTCTGCCTTGCTAGGCCCTGTCCCACGCTCTGGCAAAGCTGCCTGGAGTCTGAGAATTGGTCCACAGTCCCAACAGGATGTGCTGCGCAGCAAGACAGATGGGGTTCTGAGTCCAGCGCAGCTTGCCCTGGGGGCTGGTACCACGTCTGTGGCTAATGTTCTGTCTTTAACAGACATCGGGCATCATTTTCAGCCTTGAGGGGGATTTGTTGCAACTACTGGGCATTTAACGAGTAATTACTTTGGAGTTGTAAAGTACATGTGTTGTATAAATATAAGGCCTACACTACTTTACAAATGATCTAGGGTATTTTTCTAAAGAACAAGTATCAATTCTGAAATCAGTCATAGTCACCCAGTGAGATACTAAATCAGGATAATTATTAATTAATTATCTAACAGCATTATGAAGTTGATTGTGCCCTAAAAACAAAAGTAGTACACAGCCCTTAGTTGTAGTTTATGGTTTTTTTTGTAGTGTCTGTAGATTTTCCCTCCTAATGCTACTCCAACTGTGGCATTCCTGTGGCTTGCACCTTGCTAGAATTCTCATCACTTCTAATTCTCATCACATCTTCTCCAGAGCACAGACAGGACTCTAAGCAATCGGCTGCCTGCCTCAGCCTCTATCATTAACCTTCTTGTGGTTATCATAGCTGATTCCACCAATGCCCTCCAGTATGTTCATTGGAAGCGGAAACACAATCGTGGAATTCTTCTCCGTGGCTACCGTGGTTAAGGTCTGTAGGTAGCGCAGCTGGAGGGCTATGGGAGACTCAGCCAGCACCATGGAGGCTGACTTCAGGGCTTTAGATGCATTCATTTCTCCTTCTGCTGCAAGGACCTAAAATGAAAGGAATAAAATGTATAACTGTGACTACTGCTTTCTTTTCTGGGTCGGTGTTGGTGCCTCCCCCAGCTCCGATTTTGGTGCACGTGTTTCCTCTGCTTACTTCTTAGGTAAGGATAAGGATTTCAAATCCCATTGTGACTGGAGAACTTTGAGGAAGCTGCGCAAAATGCACAGAGGTATTTTACAAATTAGAAGTCCCTGGATTTCATTCTCAAATACAGACTAAATCACTGTATTTGACACAAACGCACATTTGTCCATGCATCCTGGGGAGGTTCTGGAACGCTTTGGCACCCCACCGACTGCTGCGATCATTTTTAGAAATGTCTGAAATTCGAGGGCTCTGACTGGCTGCTTTGTTCTTTTTACTTATCATATGAGATTTTTTTATTTCATTCTGATGCAGTTTTGTCTTATTCCTATAAAACTGGAACTGTTTCTAGTTCTTGTCACTCTTGACTACGAGTAGTAGCAAGTAGAAGCCTGATAACCTCCTGGGGACGCTCTTCATTACTCCATGCTCCTTCTAGATCCCAGAATGCTCAAGAGCAACCTCACTGTCCATGCGCAGAAGCGATGTTTCCTTCATCGGCTTCACATCTCTGCTCAGGGGCTGCTGTAATTCAGTAGGTAAATCAGACACGAACAGGGAATGAGAGCACAGAAACCTTCATCTTCTCACAAGGAAAATTCCAAAGAGAGTGCACAAAAGCTCCTGATCTCTGTGACTGGTAAGCCAGGAAATCCAGGAAATCTACATAGACATAAGGGCCACAGATCCAACAGGTTTAAGGACCCTTGCGGCCAGGCTAGGTTCACATTTTGTGATCCCAATCTGTGTTGTATTTAATTGCTCCCTTTTCGACTGGTGGTGTGGTTTAGACCTAGAATGTCTCCGCAGATCCCCATGTGTTCAACACTGGAGCTTCTGGAATGTGATTGGATCATGGGGATGCCATAGCTGACCTGCGGTTAGGAAGCGGACTGACTGGAAGAGGCAGGCCCCTAGGGCGGGGCCTGGAAGGGTCTAGCTCCCCCAGCTCCTCCCTGCTCTCTCTGTCTCCTGGTCACCAGGACCTGAGCAGCTCACCCCCACCCACACCTTTCCACCATGCTTGAAAACAGCTGAATATAGGCTGAATCTTCCAAAACCTGTGAGCCAAAATAAACCTCTCCTCCTTCAAACTGTGTCAGATATTTTGTCCTCGCACTGAGGAAACTGACTGAGAGATCCAGTAACATTTAACACACCTAGAACAGTGATACTCAAAATACAACACCAAATCAAGTGTGATCAGAACACCAGCTTTATAAAGATGTTGGTATCTGGGCCCACACTAGGCTCTGCTCCAGATGGGTAAGTGTTTTGCTTTGTTAAATTCTCTAGGAGACTTTGATGTCCAGCCTGTGCTGGGTCCCCATATTGTTAATTGCAGCGATTTGCCAAGCATCCTACTGACCCCTTCCCAAGTTTCTGCAAGGTGCATTATGCTGTTCATTACCTTTTAATTTAAGGAAAAACAAATTCTTTTCTTACAACAATAATTGAGAGAAACTATTCTTCCACTCAGGCTCTGTCCTGTCTGCCCAGCAGTAGGCAGCTCTCGCTCCGGTAGAGGGGTCCTTACCCTGGCTCTGGCTTCCCGGGTGGCCTCAGCTTCAGCCGCCATGGATCTCTGCAACTGCACAGGAATCCGCACATCTTTGATTTCCACTCGGGCCACCTGGATCCCCCACAGCTCAGTGGCATCATCAAGCAAAGTCTATTTACAAATTATTGTTTTTAAAAAAATAAGACATTAATCAGAAAACAAATGATGAGCTATAAGTTCCTACTATATTTGGTGATGATAATCCTTCCCAAACTTATGGATCACTTATTGAAATTGAAGTGAATCCCATGAAGGTTTCATGGACAAATTCTAACAGATCTTTTAATAGGTGGGCCAGAGGAAAGATCCACCCCACAAGCATCCTTCAGGAAATGTATGATATCCACCTGGATTTTAGCAAATGCCGTGATAGCGGCACTGATAGCAAGCAGACAGCAATGCATGGGCTTCTCAGATGGACTTAGATTTTATCCCAGCTTTACCAGCTACAACTGTGAATCAATGAAGCAGTTTCTTGACGCCTTGGATTCTCAGTGTTCTCATCTATGAAAGGTTTCCCATCAGGACTTTCATGAGGTTTAGAGAAATACACATAACATATCTACTATTGCCTGGCAATGATTCAGGTGAATATATTAGTGGGTACTTATCTGTCTTACTTTCTTTAGCCTCTGCTTCTTGACCAGTGTTAAATAAGTAAAGAGACATATTCTTAATAAGACATATTTTAGTGCATAATCTTTAATTCATATTTTTTAAAAAAGTAGCCTAGAGTCAAAGGTGTCTTTGACTTTAAAAGCATGGGAGACATTCTGCTGATTATCATAGAGAAGATGCACGAATGCTTGGGGAAGTCATGAGCTCACAAAGGTAGCTCTCCCAAAGGGGAGCGCAGAGATCTTGGCCACCAAAAGCAAGTTATCCCTTATCTGTCTGATTTCTGCAGGATCCTGGAGTTGGTAAGACTTCACAAGAAGCCAGTGACCTGGTTTTAGATGGGGAGCATGTGAGCTGTGAAACCCATAGGGCTCTTATAGATGATATAGGAAACTCTCCTACAGAACAGACAAAACCTTATGAAACCTTGGCGCCTTTTCACTACCTAAAGATGACATGAGAGACCAAGAGCTACCCAAGTCCTAACTTAGCAAAAGGGAGCTGAGAAAGAAAATGAAATTTATTTCAGAAATACAAAAATGCAACTTTTAAACTAAGACGTGCAAGAGATGAGGTCATACATACTACAAATTCAGTGATAATAATTACTGCCATGAATGTACTTTGGATATGTTTGAAAGTTCCAGACATGGCGTATCTTTGCTATCCTAACTGAGTCCTCTCCTAACTCACATCCCACCACAATTTAAAAATACTGGGGTCACCTGAGAAATGATGTGTTTCTGGAATAAAACTGAAAACAAATCCAGTCCCTAACATCCTTAGAAAAGGGTAAAATATTCAATATTAGGTCATAATTTTGAATTCCAAAGTCAAAGTCAAAGGGTACAGTTCCTGTAGTTTTTATCCCATCCAGATGTTAAAGTACAAGTACACCTTGTGGTAACAGACAAATGAAAGCACAAACTCACCTCTCCAGAGCAGGCGTCTGTGTGTGTGTGTGTGTGTGTGTGTGTGTGTGTACAAACACATGAGGGAATGCTCTGAACTGCTGATGTCTGATAGTCACAGATGGTTACAATGTGTGAATTAAAAATCTAGGCTATTAGTACTTAGGGTCTTTACCTGAATGCTGTGGGCAATCTCTTCTCTCCCAGATAAGATCTGGGACAAGGTCTGTGTGCCTAAGACATTTCTCAGAGTGGTCTGAGCCAGCAGGAATGTGGCTTGGTGGACATCGTTGACATTAGCCACTGCCGAGACAGCACTATAGATCCTATAATAGACAACACCATCCACTTGCGTAGTGACAGAGTCTCTGGTAAGGATCTGTAGAGTGAGGGAAGGCATAAAGTCACGTGCATGTTATTTTCACGACAATGGACAAAGTGACAGCCATCCCAAGAGCCCTCTTCCCCAGGAAAGCATTAATGATAATTTATGCCAGCCATCATCAAAAGCATATCTTGGCTTGAAATACAATGTCACTCCACCTGATGAAAATATTCCTGCACAGATTTGGTCCCTATCTGCACCTGTAGCTTAATCTTAGAGAAGTTGTATATGCCATAGACAGCAGCCCTTGACTTACAAAGGCAATAATAAGCAGTTCCATTTTGAAATGTAATCGTAGGGCCCTTCTGAAATTCTAAAATCTTCCACTCAACAGACAAAGAATACTTGCTGCCCTGACAATACCTGTAATCTTGATTTTTCATTTTTTAATCTGACTTGGTGAAGCAGTTTTACTTAGAAAACATAGATGGCACCAGAGACCACATTTATATTCAAGAACAGCAAAATTGCACTTCATAGAGAAGCACAGCATCAAGCAATCTGATTCATGAGATTTCTGGGTGGACCCCGGTAACAGAGGCTAGAACTGTCCATCCTAGAGCAGAGAGGCCCTCGTTAGGTCGCTCAGACTCCTGAGGCTTCCATGACTGAGTTCTAAATTCAGGTTCCTGTAGTTCCTGACAGCGATGAGGAGACATCACTGCTGTTTCTTGGTGGAGTTTCCTAATCACTTCACCCTCTCCAATCCTAGGCCTATTTAATTTTCCTCTCATTTTAGTTCACTGTAGGAGACCTGATTGTTAGTAAGCTCTATTCCTCTTCCTACTGCCTTGTTACTGCTTTTGGTGAGCTAGTTATAGCATTTTAAGAATCACAAAAATGTATTTGAAATCCAAATGTAGGTGAGTCCTGTACAACTTTTGCTCTGTCCCCACACCCACTCGGCTCTGTTGTATCCAAGTGTACACGCAGAAAAATTAGAATCAAAAGCAAAAGCGAGTCATGTAGACACTTTTAAAACATCTGGAAGGCAATAGAGAGGCAATTTAATGTTGCCGCCCTGAGCACAGTGATCTCTCTGTCTCTGCCCTGTCATCTCCATCCTGGCTTCTCTGCCAACTGCGCCTCTTCTCTCAGATTGTCTCCTACCCAGCCATTCTAAGTCCTCTATCATTTGCTCTTGGATTCATTCTCAGTAGCTATACAAAACCTGGTATATTCCAAAGCCACTTGGGCAACCCAAGAAGTCCTGGGGGGATTCAGTCCATTTGTCCCCACATAATTCAAAAACATACTGCAAAATTGCAGCTGTCCATGGAAGAGAAGAGATGTGGGTTTTACTCCTAGTAACTCATCTGTAATTCCATACCTCTTGCGGAGGAATGTTGCAAGTGACTGTTCGGAGATCGACTTTGACAAACACATCTATACAGGGCAGGACCAGGATCAAACCTGTAAAGGAGAAAATTGATTTAACGTTTGACCCTGTTGAAAACGATGATAACAAAGCATCTCCTGGCTAAATACTACATCATTTTCATGGGGCTATCGGTGTTCCTCCGCTGAATTTTGATTGGAGCACATCTAACTTTGGAGAAAATGAATTCTCTCTATCAGTCATTGACTGAAGAAAGAGGTTCCTAGAAATTAAGTTTTTTACTTTCATCCAGCTGTTTTACCTGCCATTAATTTAAAAGGATATGGAGGTTCATTTCCATATAATAAGATGCCTATATGAGTTTCAAGTGATACATTTAGCCTTGAGTTTCAGTGACTGTCAATATTCTCAGCAGCTTCAATTGTACTCTAGAAATGTTGAATTAAAATATTCCCAGGGTTTCAGATTACCTAAAACCGGTGCATCCCTGAACGAACAGCTTCTCCATAGCTGTGTTCTGATCCAAGTACAACAGTGTCCCCCAACCTGAAACACCTTTACTCCTCTCTGAGTTGTGAGTATTGGTTAGAGTTTGTCAGGGAAGGATGGACATAAGAAAATTCATTTGACTGCTTGGCATTACCCTGAAAAATGTTCTCTCTTTACTGTCAGAGCTATAAGAATTCAACCACAAGGCTTGTCAGCAGGATGGGAACACTAATCTATTTCCATTCTCATGGAGGTTTTATATCACTATGACTGTCTTCAAAGCAGAAGCAAGCTTTGAGTTTAAGTATCAGGTGAAGAACCCATAGCATGACCAGAGAACACTGCCAGGTGCCCTCTTTATTTTGATCTCCAACCTTTCTGAGACATGGCAAGAATTGCTGACTAGTTTTCTTTTCTTTTTGGTGCCAGGTCATCACAGCTAAGATTCCTAGCTCTGACAGCTAGGGAGTGGTAAGGCCCAGCCCGTCACTTAGTGGCTTTGCAATAGAAATCAGTCCACTAGCTTTTCTGAGCTTTATTTTCCCCATATATACACAAAGCTAGAGAAGAGGACACATAAACCAACATGCTAATGACATAAGTGCTAAACACAGTGCCCAAAAAGCGGTAGCTCTTATCATTACTACCTTTATTATGAAAGGATACTATGCAATTTGCAAAAGGGGAGGGATTTTCCATTAACAACTTGGTTTGTTTCCCTCTGGTCCTATGACATTCTGAGGTAAGTTATTAGCCCCAGGGACGTGTATGACGAGAGTTGTTATCCTGGGACATTTAGTAGTGAAATCTTCAGGGAAAATTTATTTAAAAGAGATACATTCGTACCTTAAGTCCTCCAAGTTATGGCTATTCTGCCTCTTTTAGATCTATTTTTATTTTAATTTATAATCTGAGCCCCACTACATGGAGTATTACTGGGAAAGAGATGACTTTGCTCTTTTATTCCTCTGTTGGACAGTGTTTACACTTCTGTCTTGATAAACTCATAAAAACCCTTTTAATAAGTAATTCTTGGCGTCTTTTCCTTAGTTTCTTACAAGTAAGATCACACTATTTGAAATGTCCTAGCTTTATTTACACACTTTGCCTTGTGGAGTTGCTGGTATTTTTTTTTCAGCAAAACAGGTATCTGAACACCTTAAGTGGGACCTGTGTTCTAAGAGGTGTTATCAGAGAAATAGAATTCACAGCCATTGTTTTTCATTGGCTTTCTAAGATAGTTTTTGATAGCCTCTCTTTTCAAAAATATTAATCATCATTCTTGAGGTCAAAACAAATATAAATAATTTTGTAGGGTCTGACTAAATCTACACTAAAGGAAGTTACATTAAATCAAAATCTCATTTCTAGGGAGTTTTAGTAACTGACACCCATCCTCACCTTGCTGCCCTGCCAAATCCTTTTATAAAATGGACAATTTGAAATATGTTCTTTCCAAAGACTGTAAAGATGGAAATAAACACCACATTTTGTGTTACAAAGCCTAAACATTCGTCTTTACCCCCAACTGTAAGAATAATGATTGGTAAATCATTAAACCTGTGTGGGATTCAGGATCTTTATTTTAAAAACCAGGGCACAAATCTTGCATTCTTACATCTGGTAATCTGAGCAACTTGTTAAAGATAACAACATGTAGTATGACAACCACTGTTCATTCCTATCATTCTGTTTTGAAGCCCTGTGTCATTTTTATTGTTTTTACTTTGTTTTGTTTTCATCTATGTTGTTGTTATTTTGTTATTTTTTATTTTTTAATTAAAAAAAATGCAAAAAAAAGAAAAAGGACTCCTGCAATGGCTTCTAGCTCTATTAGTCAATTCACTATAAAAAATTATCTTTTGCTTTTCCATTAGTCCTTTTTAAAGAGTTAGAATAAAAAGCTAGCTCTTTGAATACTCTGAGCAACTCAAGGGTCTACACTGTCCATTTACTGTCTCTTCCTTCCCCCAGTATGCTCTTAGTGGCCCTGGAATAAGTAACATGCAGCCAGTGTAAGTACAGTTCATTGCTCACATTCATCAGCCTTCTCACAGGAAGGGTTAGGAAACAGGTCTAGGTTTCTAAACTCTCAATCTGCTGGCCATTCCCACTCGCTTGCAACACATGATAAGATTTTTCCACTGTACAGAAAGGCAAGGGCTCAAGCTCTGGTGATTTTCCTTTGACTCTTCACAGGTGCTATAGGAAGGGTACTGCTGACTGAAGCGCTAGTAAGAGGCACGCGGGATCTGTGACGGGGCAGCCACAGTGTCCTACCTGGTCCTTTAGCTTTATCAGCTTGGATGCGGCCCAGTCGGAATACAACAGCACGTTCATACTCCTTAACGATCTGAGAGATCAAGGGACAGCATTTAGTCTTAATGGCTCCTCAGCTCATGGGAAGAGCCCCATTCATTTCCCAGGGTGTTACCTTCAAGCACATCCATATGGAGATGGGAAAGGTAATGATCATCAACAGGAAAGAAAGAGAAAACAGAATCCAGCCACATACACCGAGCCGGGTTTTGTTGATGCCTAAGAAGTGAGAAAGAAGCAAGCCTGTAAGTGACATGACTCCTAGAAAAGCCATGCTGACGAGTGAGTGTGTGAGGAAATTGCCTAGACAGCTGGCCGAACCTGAGATGAACACCTAAATTCACCCAAACTCATAAATGCAGTTAAACACACACACACACACACACACACACACACACACATGATATTTCATGTTTCTAGTTCAAATTGATCTATCTTTTTCAAGAAGTTTCAGAGTAATCAACAGCAATGCTTCCACTACATTTCTACTGGGCTGACAGGGTATATTATTCTCAAAACACATAAAATAATATTTCTCAGAATGTTATCTAGGGACCAGCTGGACTAGAGAATCAGATTCGTGGGCCGCATAAATTCTCCAGGTGAATTTCAAAGTGACCCCCAAAGTAGAGAGGTGGGTGCTATTGTCCTAACAGGGGGACAATGTAGCACATGGAAAAGCATCTGGAGATGCTAGGTGTGAGTTTCTGTGTGAATGCCCTCATTTATCAACTGTTTGACCTTATAATTTCTTGGGGGTCTCAATTGCTTCATCTCTAGAATGGGGATCTAGAAGTTACCTTCCTTGGAACATTTAACTTAGACTAAAAAAAGATTACTTTGATTTGGCTCCTGATCCATGCTTTGACATCTATGTTAGTAAACACACACTGCTACTGTTATTCCTGCTTTACATATGGTTAGGAATTGCAGAAATTTGTCAGATCTTGATATTCGATATTTCTGACTTTTCGTGGAACTCTGTAGTGTTGGCTCATCGCGTTAGATGTCTTTTTATTGATAATACATTATGATAGTAGAGGAATTTGGCTTAATGAATATTGTCCTGCAATAAGACAGAATTGAGTTCAAGTCCTACCTCAACCATCTAAAAGTTTTGTAGTTTGAGTCATAAATACATCATCTTGCAAGTCTCAGGACTGTTGTTGGCAAAACACACGTTAGGCTGTCTAATTTTAGAATTCTTTATATTTCCATTTTGCCTCCTTTCAATCTTCATTATATATGCCCTTCTCCTTGCCTTCACAAACAAGGTTGTGTCAGCTGGTTTGTGTGTGCCTCATTGACCAACATGCGCTTTCCTCAAATCTTGATAGAAGTGCTCCACCCAACACTGTTCTCATCCTTACATGTCTGTCAGTTAAGCCATGTTCTCCACTGTACATGTGAACACTGTATTTCTAGATATCCCCGCTGAAGGAATCCCTCAAATGCCATACGCTACCTCTACCTCAAGCACGCCTTGACCACTCATCCGATTGCCCAGGCTGGATGGGTCCTGACTGCTCCTTCCTTGTCTGATTGCCAACATTACCAACACCAATGATACCGCTTCAAACCCATCACCGCTGACCCACTTCACTAATTTCTTCTAAGTAGTACATGTTTGCAAATCACGCAGTTTACAATCATCTTGGGGAATAGGTGCATGTACATAGTACATCTTGATTCCTTTTTTAAAGCCCCCTCCTCTTCCCTCCTCCCTCCCTCTTCCTCTAAATCCCCTTTCCCCATTTTCATTTTTGTTGATATTATTAATCTTATTGCATGTTTACGACACATAGTATTTACAGTTATTGAGATTATTAGGTTTCTTCATTCTACTTGTTTCCCCTCCTCTTCCCTCTCTTCTCTCACTCTCGGTCTCCAGGACCCTTTCCCTTTGCAAGAGATGAAGCCCCTTGTCTCCTTCTATCCATCCTCTATTGTGTTATTTGTACTTTTGAAAAGTTAGGAGAGTTCTAAGCTTTCAGCTCACAAACATTGTTATAATGTATGTTTCTCAATGTCTGTTTTTGTGTACTTATGTAAGATACATTCCTGGCAATGGATGTGGTAGGAGAAAAAGGTTACCCTTCATCATTTTGATAGATGGTAAATGTCCTTCAAGGAGTTGGTACCAACCTGCGTCCTCACCTGCAGGACACATGTGTCCTTTTCCACATGTGCTGTCCTTGTGAGACACCGTTGGATGTGCTGACTGTTATATTCTGATAGGTGAGAAGTATCTAAGTTTTAGATGCATGATTTACTATTAAAATTGTGAATGAAAACATTCCTTTATAGGGTTTAAATACACATAAAGATATATTCTAAATCATAAGGGCTTGCTGGCCAATTTCAGAGCTTAAATTCCTAAATTCTAAACCACCTTGGATACACCTTGAGGTAGATTAGACTATCAGTATGCAGGGGAAAAAAAGACACTTTGTACCTTCTGAAAAAAATCTTGGCTGTATTTTATTTATCAGTGCTTTCTAACATTGTTTTATTTATTAGGAGCATTTATTTTTATTTATTTCAATACTGTATTTTATTTATCAGTTATTTAATATTTGTGCTAATAACACAGCCTGCACATTCTTATTGAAAATCATTTGAAAATATAATTAAAGTCCCTACCAGTCCCCCAGCTCCGTTACAGTTTTAAGTTTCCTAGTTATTATCAGTTCGGTGCATTTCTTTTTGCATTTAGAAAATATCAGCCTTGGTTTCTAGATTTTATTTTCATTTAAAGACATCACACTTGTTTCCTTTTTTTTTTTTTAACTAAGTTATCTTGGATGCATTTCCATGTCATTACACATGCATTTACCTTAGCTGTTGCCTCCTCTTCCGTTCTAAGCCTATGTCTGTTTTTTTAACCATTCTCATATTGATTGACATTAGGGTTATGGGCAATTTTGCCTTTGCAAACAAGGCTGTATTAACTAGGCTTGTATGTGCCTGGCTGAGGCATTTTCCTAAATTTTTAATGAAAGTGCTGAGAAGACAACCTGTTTCTGCCACTTTGGTGTGTTTCCGCCCTGCTAACATTGACATATTTGATGTTCAGAGACACGTTAGGGTGTTCTAAGGCCAGGATATTTTTAGTGCAGCATGCACAAACTGGAATTCCAAGGATACCATCTACACTTGTGCCCTGAGCCATGCTCTATACAATTTCAAACTAATCTTAGCCTTAACACCAAGCTATATGAAGCGCTTTTATCACAGACAAACTGTCCTGACCAGCAGGAGCTCCTTCAGAATCACACCTAAACCTTTGCATCATTACACACGAGCAGGAGGCTCAGCTCTGTGGTACTCAGCATGCTGAAAGAGAAAAGAGATGAAAACCTTCCAAGGTTTACACCTGATAGAATCACCAGTCCACACGCTGCTGCAAGGATTGCTGGGCGTCATTAGCTGCTGTTTACAGTGGGACTGTTACTGCCCTAGTCAGCCTCCCCGCAGATTCTGTAGCTCAGCTTCCTGAGCTCTCACCGCCTGGGGGGCCAAGGCCACAAAGTGCTACTTTTCAAGATTCCAAAGGTGCAAACCCTTCAGGCAGCCTTTCCCCTCCTGTGTCCATCCCACACTTAAAGCCAGAATGCTGTGCTGAGACCTGCATTTGAGGATATATTTCCTGCCAAAAGAAAATGCCTTTTTTTTTTCAGTTACAAAACGCCTTCAGAAATTTCCCACCCTGCCTTTCTGTCAGTTTGCACAAGCCTCCTTCCAGACCTTTTCCTTGAGGCTGAGGCTAGGATGAGAGGAAAAACTTAAGCCCTGACCACATCTAATCATCTGGTTCAGTGAAATCCACACATAGGTAATTTCCGGGGATAATTGTCACATAAAGCATAAAGCCATTATGCTGACTTCTGCTGGAGATCTTGCTTTTGCTGCCCTCCACAAATTGCCCCTAATTTCTCAGGCATTCATTCAACAGATATGCTACCAATTACGTTCCAGACACTGTGCTGGTGCCATGGCTCTAAGGAGATGTGGGACTTGCCATCAACAGACAAGTCTGGGAGCAAAAAGAGACAATAGGGACAAGGATCATGAAGACAGTAGTTAGTCACATTTAACTAGGACAGCTATTGCTGAGGAAGCAGCTGGAACCTGCCTTCTGCTCATGGCTATGAAAAAGAACAGAAGAATGCTCTCCAACACCTTCCTTTCAAACTGAGAGAATTAGAGCCATGACATAGGCACCTGAGGCCCAGAGCCACTGCCACTAGGAGAAGGAGCCAGAACTTTCCACTGGAGGGACTTTGAGACAACCAAAGCTTACCCTTTATTTGCAGCCAGAACTTCTTGATTACTGTTTTCATCACTGTCTTATTCTCTCTTTGAGTAAGGTGAATAATTCATGCCTACCTTTACTGACTTCATGCCCACCTTACTCTTTACTGACTTCATGCCCACCTTACTCTTTGAGTAATGTGAGTAATTCATGCCCACCTTTACTGACTTAGGCAGTGTTATGGTTTGTGTCTGGATGTCCCCCCAAAGCCTCATGCAGTCATGGGGTGGGCTTCTAGAGTTTATGATTGATCCATGGTCCAATGCTAGGATTATGGGCATGAGTGCTACACCTTCCCTGGGGCAGGTAGTTTGCATACAGTATAAGGGAGGGAAAGAGGTTTGCTCTTTCTGCTGCTCCTCCCTTTTTGCTCTTGCTGCTTTTGCTGTTTTCTGCTGCCATGAACTGTTGCCCCTGTGCCATGTGTCACTCTGCCTTGGAGCCAGCTGATTATAGACTGAAACCTCCAAAAACTGTGAGCTAAATAAACCTTTCCTTTGTTAATTCTGGGCATCAGGTATTTTGTCTCAGCAAGGAGAGAAAAGTAAGCAAGATAGGTAGTAAGGCATAACCAAGCTTCACCCAATGAGGCATGCCCCTGAGCATTTCTCCTGACACTTAAATACAACCCTTTGTGTCCCAAAGACTCAAATACCCATTAGGCCCTGGAGTAAACACTCCAGGCAGGATCTGGTTCTTGCACAAGGATAGAAAGTGGGGGAGAATATTTCAAATATCTAGCCTCACTTGGATAACGTTAGAACTAGAAATGAATTATAGTAAATAAAATAGGCTAAGTGACTTTCTTGTTTATTTTCCCACTTTGGCCAAATTATACAATATTTGATCACAGACCTATATTATCATAAATAGTCATTTCTTTTTTAGGAGAAAAAGTAATTCA